TTGGTTAGAGACACTTCGGAGAAGGTGAACTTGATATGGAAGCGTCTTCTCACGACTCAAAGTCGAAAGAAAAGCTACGTCGAAAGGCGACGAATGTGAAGACCCTGCCCCATTACCGGGACCCTGTCTTCCAAGGGCAATCCTCCCATTACCGGGATATACCGCCCTCCATCAAAGGATTTTGGCTAACCTGCGGGACAAACCCCCACAGTAGCCTTTACCTCCGTCCCACATCGGGGAAAGAGTCGTCTCCCCACCCCCATATAAGCCGAAGCACCATATGAAAGCAGTACCCAAATAGCACTAGTGCTAGATGGGTACTGCTTCCATATTGTGCTTCGGCTTATATGGGGGTGGGGAGACGACTCTTTCCCCGATGTGGGACGGAGGTAAAGGCTACTGTGGGGTCGTCCTGCAGTTAGCCGAAATCCTTTGGTGGAGGGCGGTAAAATGCTATTGGAAGACCTACATCCCGGTAATGGGAGGAGTCTTCACACAAAAGGCGCCTTTTGTGTGAAGACTCCTCCCATTACCGGGATGTAGGTCTTCCAAGAGCATTTTACCGCCCTCCACCAAAGGATTTCGGCTAACTGCAGGACACGCCCCACAGTAGCCTTTACCTTCGTCCCACATCGGGGAAAGAGTCGTCTCCCCACCCCCATATAAGCCGAAGTGCTATTTGGGTACTGCTTTCATATGGTGCTTCGGCTTATATGGGGGTGGGGAGACGACTCTTTCCCCGATGTGGGACGGAGGTAAAGGCTACTGTGGGGTCGTCCTGCAGTTAGCCGAAATCCTTTGGTGGAGGGCGGTAAAATGCTCTTGGAAGACCTACATCCCGGTAATGGGAGGAGTCTTCACAACGAAGGCCTCTAGAGTTTGAGGTAAGAGATCATGTCTTCTTGAAGGTGATGCCAAAGAGAGGAGTGGTCAAGTTCGGCAAGTAGGAAAATCTGTCGCCAAGGTATATCGAGCCCTTCGAGGTACTCGAGAAGGTTGGTACAGGGCTTACACATTGGCATTACTGCCAAATCTATCAGGTGTTCATGCAGTATTCCATGTCTACATGCTCTGGAAATACACCCTGGATCTGACTCATGTAGTGGGTTGGAGCGAGCTTGTTATTGATGTTGATGGGACCTTCGAGGAGGGACCGATGTGCATCATGGATAGCTGAGATCAGGTTTTGCGAGGCAAGACCGTGAGGCTAGTAAAGGTGTTGTGGCAGCACCGAGGAGTGGAGGAGGCAACATGGGAGCGTGAGGACACTATACGTACCAATTATCCTTTCTTATTTGAGGATGGAGGTACATTCTTATAGTCATTTAGTATATATATGATTGTTACATATGCATGTGATTAAATGTGTAGGTATGAGTGAATTTCGGGGACGAAAATCTTTTAAGGGGGGAAGAATGTAAAACCCGAGTAAATTTAAACTTTTACGAAAAAGGGTAAAATGGTAATTTGCTACTATAACGCGGGTTTAAAATTAATATTTTTCTAGAGCTCAGATGATGCAACGGACCTCACCATTGAATTCGTATCACGAAATCAGACTACCATGTCAAATTTCGTCGAATTTCGAGATAGTCAAATTTTACATATTTTACGAGACAACTGGGTGACAAATGACCTCGTGAATGCCCCCAAAAATAAAAATTATAAAATTTTCTTATAACTAGATAAAAGTTCAAATAAAATTAAGTCGAACTAAAACTAGAAATTAATTAAGCCGTTTTGGGTTAAAAACGGATCCGCAAGCAATAAATGTGCAGGGCAATGTGGACCGCTCAATTAGAAAGTATAAATAGGGGCTAAATATCTGAAAAATCAGATATTCTCACCCACTTGGCTGGCTAAATCAGACATTGAAGAGAGGAAAGAGAGAGAAGAAAGAAAACCTAGAAATTCTACCCTTATTCTTGTGATCCAAGGAGTTTCGTCGATCAGAATTCATTGAACCAAGAATTAAAGTTGGTCTACGCAAAGAGGACTACACGTACGTGCCAAGAATGAAGGATTTTATCGAAGATCCAAAGAGGAGATTTTGTGAAATTAAGAGTTTTGGGGCTCGGAAGTGTTCTTGAGTTTCCCCACACTTCATCTCACACTCTAAGAGGTAGGGTTTCCTTCTACTTTGGACTACTTCTATCCTATGATGTTCATATGGAAAGGGGCGGGTATGTAGAATATGTATACCACTTGTTTATTGTTACAAAAATGAGGGAAAGGGTATAGAAATGGCTTAGACCAACTTCTAGCTTGGATTTGATATGTGGGAGTCAATGGTGTAATCCCTTAAAATTGGTTTATGTGGGCATGTTACATGTTTATACTATGTCTTGTGATTAAGTGTGATTGACATGAGATTGTGTAATGCCATACTAGAGAATTGTGTTGGATATAAATGTTGATATATGCTAGTTGATGTATCGACATAATAATGAATTTTGGTGATTATATGCATGTGATATAGATTGTCATGGAACATGTGGACATGTGGTTAAATGGTTCATTTGGCTTTTATTACATTTTGGGCATGATATGCATTACATTCATGGGCTTAGGCATGAGTCTGGGTGTGTGTGGGTATAGTTGATTCAAACATCATATATGGTGGTTGAAGGTGGGCTCGAGAAAGTGGGATTGAAAATTTCATTGAGTTGCGCGGTTGCATGTATGAAAAACTTGTGTCGGGTATAGCAAGAAGTGCTAGACACTCCCTCGAGTGAAAGGCCCAACTACTTGGTTCATACACTCCCTTGAGGTGAAATTCTGAAAAAGTGTAATGGCGTACGGAGCCAGCGGTGTAATTCCAAAATCCGATACCCAGCAAAGACACATGGTTTTGGTTTATATAAATGATTCATTTGATAGGAAACATCCAACAATGAATGAGTTTTATGAACGTATGATTGAATTTCAAAATGCTTTTTGGATGTATTTCACCAAGGACAAATGTTTTACGCATATGCATTGCATTGTGTTGTGGGAGTTGGTGAGGACTCAGGATAAGGTGCATGAGTGAGTCTCATCTCATTTCATGGCATGACATTATGATTTTTCAACATTGAATTACATGTTCTTGTTGAAATGGATATTGGTTTTCATTAGTTACATGTGCACATTTCATATGCATCTAGGAGGGGAGTAGCCTCTGTAGGAAATATTCTACTGGGCGTTGGCTCACCCTATACGGGAATACATTTCAGGTGCGGGATTTGTACTAGCAGATGACTCGCATTCGGGGCTTCAACGATGAAGAAAAGTCAGGTTGTGGCTTTTGAAAACAAGTCTTTCAAAAAACTTTTGTTAAAACTACGTTTTGGTATGAAAATATATATAAATTGTTGAAATGGACTTGTATAAATGAGGTTTTATGTAGAAACTCCATTTATTCATGTTTTGGATGAAATTTGAGGTGATTTGGATTGGATTGGAAGTGAAAAACACAGGAAATGGCAAAACTGGGCAGGGAGTACCGGTATAGTCTGGTCCAGCAAGCAGAGAGTACCGATACACAGAACCGGTACTCTTTCCATAACTTATAAAAAAAAAAAAAAATTTGGAAGGCAGATAATACCGGTACAGTCCAGACGGTACCGGTACTGTCACGGCTAATGAACAAACAGTATCGATATTGTCTTCAAAATTTTGAAATTTTAACACTAAAGTGCCATATTTTTGGACTTTATTTTCCTTGGTCCCAATGATACAAATGAACATTACATGAGGTATATTGGACCTTCGTTGAATTAAATGATTAAAAGAACACGGGTTACATATGTGAGTTAAAATTCTAGATAATGATATAATATTAGTGTGATGTCAAATCAAGTGACACTCACGGGTCTTTCCGCGGGTTGACGGGTCGTCCATGGGACCCCCGGTTTATGGGGCGTCACACCCCTCCCATTGGTTACAAACCCAACCTACAGGTTAACAAGAGATCAGCTCATTTCTCGTTGCTTCACTGTCATCCAAGCTTTACTGAGCTCGCCCACAAGGGATTGTTGCACAGAGGCAACGAAGAAGACACAGATCCAAGCATCTTCAAATATTCTTCTCTTTGTCTTAACGATATGATTTTTTTTTTGAATATTGTTTATCTGTTGAACCCCAAGCCCCAACTCATCTGATATTGTTCATCTGTTGAACCCCAAGAACCCATTGCTAAAAACGGTGTTGTTGGTATGAGTGAGAAGTCCAAAGGGTTTTCGGTGAACAATAATAAAGAGATGGATTTGTTGGGTGATGAGAGAGAAATTGGATTTATTGATGTAAAAGAGGAAAAATATGAAGGGTTTTGGGGGTGAGGGAATCAGCTCGAAAGGCTCGGCAAGAAATGGAGATTTGTGGAGAATGGTGGAGTACCACTAGGCTCAGCTCGAAAGGGTTGGCAAAAATATGAAGGGATTTGTTGCTCTAAGCTGAGGAAGATGAGAAGGCATGGAAAAAACTAGAAAAAGAAAGTGAATGTGGAGAATGGTGGTACGCTGGGCAGTGAGGAGGCAGATGGAAAATGAGGGAAATTTGGTTGAGGGAAGTAAAGAAGAATTACTCATAAAAAAAAAAGGGAGAATTTAATTGTTTAGATTTAATATACATGTTCTACCTTTATATCAATTATTCACTTTGCTATTAAAAAAAATATCAATATTTTAATGTATATATGTTATTTTGTATATGTGAAAAATATTTAATTTAGTTAGGATAAGTCACCAGTCCAAACATAGGATATGATTAGATTGTATTGAATAGAGTAATGGGTATAATGGTAAATTATTACAAAATATTTAGTATAATTTATGGGGCCCACATAAATATATATTTGTTTCCTAAACAAAAGTTTGGATTGGATGATATCCCTAACCTTGGATTGCAAGTGGATAAACAAGTTTGAATTGGATGACTTATGATATAAAAAAAGATATCCTACCGTATCCAGTCCAGCTACCCAAACACATTTTCGTGTGTGACCAATTCTAAATCTCTTTTACTCATCGTAGGCAGTTAAACAGCTCTTTTCAATATTGCCTCCCTCGTGTTAATATATATATATATTTTAAGAATATATTGCCTCTCTCTCTACTCTCTATTTCTGATTCGGATCTGAGTCTTTTCAATTGGTTATTTTCTGTACTCTGTCGAATCTGTCTTGAAATTCCCTTTTCTTATCTGAGTCTTCCTGAGCACTTGCACCGTAAGAGCTCCATTTTCTCTTAAACTCTTCTTGAAGCATATATGGGCTTCTTGTGGGGTTTGGAGCGTTGTTGGTGATGTCTTACAGTAAATACTCAGAGGAAGAACCAACTAGTTGTTGCTCAAAAGCTTCAGCTGAGTTGAAGCTCTACCAAGCTTTCATCTTTTCAGTACCAATCTTCTTTACTTTCATCCTTCTCTTATTGTTTTATTTGTTCTATCTTCGCCGTCGAAGTGTTGATTGGTCGTCACTGCGAATGAGGATCTCCTTGCAGACCCCGAATGAGATCTCCACAGTAAGTACATTGGTTTGTTTTTATTTTTGGGTGTTTTCAACAGAAAATTACACTTAGATCCTCTAAATTTTGAAAATTACACTTACTCTTTGTATGTTTCTCATTTTGTGTCTTAAATAATATGATTTTGTCACCCAACACATTCATTTTTTCTCAAAAGATAACTCTCGTTTGAAACAATTTTTTTGAAATGACACAAAAAATTTATTAAAAAATATATAGGATGCAGTACAAAGCTACCGACGCACAAGTCGTCCATCTAAAAATGCTAAACCATAAAAGAGCACTAAATAAAAGTAAAAAAAAAAAAATAGTAAATATACCCGTCATGAACAACAGTCCAATTCACGTCAAAAAAACAATGTTATTGGGAGGTAATTTAAAAATATAATTTGAAGATTTAATGATTTTAATCATTAGATTATCGATAGATCTAACATTAAATTGTCACTTGATCTCAACAGGATCAATACAATTGTCATAATGTATTAAGTCCCCAAATTATATCTATAAATAATATCCCAATAGCACGATTGAATTTCAAAAAGAGGCCTAGTTGCATATTCATTGGAGGCCGATGCTGAAAGCGATGCAAAGAGGGAAACACCTCAACCACCTCATACTTATTCTCAAAAGATATTGCATTTTTCTCCAACCAAATTACTTGAGCAGTGATAAATAGTGCACATTTCTGAATAGCAACAACTTTGCTCTTCCTACCAAAGTTTTTAAAATGCACATGAAACTTTGTTGACATAGAACTTGGAATCAGCCAAGAATTCCCGCTTTCACGAACAATTTATTCAATAGAGGCAATGTTATTGGGCTGTGTAAAAATAAATTGCTCAAACTCTCACAATCCTCTTATGCATCCGTCACCATTGTATTTGTGGCAGAGATATGTTTGAGGTCTTTTTTTTTTTAAAAAAAAACAAGTCATTGGGTCGATCTTTCCATGAGTAATAATTCATGCGTAAACTTGCATTTTCAAAAACACCTTAGCCATCCAAATAACTTGGTCCATGAACCCATTAACTTTTTTGGTGATTGTGGCTTAGCGGTGTGAATTGGGCCTGAAGAAAGAACTCAGAGAGATGCTACCCATTATTGTTTTCAAGGAGAGCTTTTCTGTCAGAGATACGCAGTAAGTGTGCTTTCTTGATCTATGTTACTTGCTTCTCCTTGCGATTCTATTTTAACTAGTTCTGTCTTGTATATCTTCGCATAGTTCTATATTTATTGAGTTGATTATGATGACACGATGCTAGAAAAAGCCTCAATTGTTCTCATCCTTTGCTTTATTATATTTTTTGGACTTACAATTGAATTTTTTTTCAGTATCTTGGTTAAAATGGGTTGACCAAGGGACATTTTCTTTTTCTCTAATGGATGAAATTCTTGCTTGGCAGAGAAATCTGATATTGGATAATTGTTGATAGAAAGAAGGGCAGGGGAAATAATGAGATTCTTTGTGCGTAACTAGTTAGTCACAGCACCACCGAGTGGGATGGTCCAATGACATATTGGTTGAACTTCTCTTCTTAAAGTTAAAGATTTGAGTCTTAGACTCCATATTGGGACTTAGTGGTTGACAGTTATATTAGTCTTATTAGGTTTGTTCCCGATAAGAGTAATAGACGGTTAGAGACCTCGTGATCTCGCCAGTGATGCCTATCAAAGTGTCCCCACTTCTTTTAAAAAAAAAAAAACTAGCCACGGCCCATCCCCTATCCGATTGTGATAATACAGACAAGTGGGCATTAAATCCCCATTACAACCTGTCCAGTTTTTTTTTGTAATGTGTATAATAAGTTAGTGGGTTCAGTATATTGTTCTAAAATTCAAATGATCACTCATATTGGTGGGACTGGTTATAAAACTTGGAGGAATTTTATTGATACAACATTAGGCAATACTCGATAGGAATTAGGAAGGGTGATATTATAGATTGGCACCAGGAATTAGGGAATATTAATTATATTCCCTTCGTTCTTAAATATCTGTCGTTTAAGGTTTTTATACAGGGATTAAGGAAGTCATTAAATAGTTTTAATATGAGTAAAAAATAATTGCATAAGACTAAAATACCCTTATTCAATATGTATTGGAAAGGAAAGGAATATGAAAGACACTTAGCCTCCACCTAATCTAATATATTGAAAAGGTAAGAGTAAATTTGGAAGCAAAAATATTAATTATACTTTGGTTTCATAAAACAACAGATATTATGGAACAAAAAAAATTGTGTAAAACGATAAATATTTAGGAACGAAGGGAGTAATGATAAAAATATGCGCTCATCGAGAGCATTTGGTCAAATTGAGACTTCAAGTTTTGCTTTTTCGTTTTCCATTTCTTAGTTTAACATCTATGAAGCATCAATACTTTATCAAGGTCGATGTATTTATATCGGATGTGATACTCGTTAGATAATCAGTGATATGTATCGAATATAGGTTATACATATTTGGTAATTAATAAAATATGTGAATATTTTGTGGATAATTTTATACATAGAGCAAGATATGTAATTTTTAATTTTAATCTATATCTTCTCCTTTCGAGTTCACAAATAATAAAATACATCAACAAAATTTTATTTAAATTTTAAGATACAAGTGTTTTTTAAGTATTATTTACTATTATATGTCAAAAAAAAATATTTATAAACAAACTAACTAGTTAGATATTGATTCCTTTAATTGGTCGCATTCATTTTATGGGAATATATTATAATGAAACGATATTATACATTTTTCAAGATAAAAATTCTTAATTTTGCTTACTATTGTTAAATAATTACTAAAAATTATAATTTTTAAATGGTTAAATAATAGTAAAATATAAAATATATTTTATTATAAAAGTATTCTAGTCATACTCGTATTCAATTTTTTCAAGTTTTATCATATTGCTGTATTCGTTTCGTATTTTATTCGTATCTCATATTTATACTCGTATGTTCTAGCTCAACACAAAACACCTCATTTGGGACATTCATAAATGTCTTGTTTTCTCTAAAAAACTCTGTTTAAACACGGTTTGAGTTATTTCGGTACCATATCACTTCACATTTTAGGCTTTTTATATCATTTTTTTCTTGTAATTTCTTAACTATCGGCGTACAACCACTTTTTTGGTTCACTTCCTATTTTTTAGGCTTACATGTTATATTTGGGGCTTATTTTTTAGTTTTCAGTATAAGTAAAGTACAGAAAAGTACAAATTGGATATCATAGAGTTTCCCCTCTTAAACAATTCATCAAAATTGCTTCTTTTTTAGTACAGTCTCAGCTAAAGGTTGTTCTATGTTTGCTAATTTCAAGCACACGCTGAGCTGGCTTTTCTATTTGGGGAAAAAAAGAAGATGATGATAATTCCATGGGTTGCAAGTTAGGTGGTCAATAAATACGAAAGGCTAAAAGAGACATAAATCATGATGCATGTATATGGGTCTTTTAAGTGTATATTTCACTTTTTGGGCGTTACATCATATTGAATGATAAAGATCTAACTATGGTATTAGAGAATTATTTTTGGGTATAATACCCCCATTTTTCGTCCAATAGAATTGACAAAAATGTAAATTTTTTGTATTTTTAATTTTATTTACCATTTTCTGTCAATGGTTAAAAATCATCCAAATTAAAATTGCCAGCTGCAGATCTGTTTCGATACAGTTCCGTGAATCTGTAGCCAATATAATCAACATCAACTGTTAATTGCAAAGTTCGGGCCCAAAAAGGGGAGAAAATGGTTTTTTTATTTTGGAAGGTCAAAAAAGTTAATTGCTAGCTGGTTCAAAATTGATGACAATGGGGGTGTGATTGGTTGAGATTAAACCTGCCACGTTTTGATAAGCTACCATTGTTGAAAAAATGTTCTTATTTGTGTCATTGTAGTAGGAGTGAGTGAATCACTTCCTATTCTTTTGGATAGTTGAGTTTCCCATTACAGTGATATAATGTGCTACTATGACAAAAGGAGCATATGCAAAGCACTTTTATGGAATGATCTACTATGACAAAATTAACAAGGGTAAACTGGATTGCATGAATGATGCTTTGAAAATCCAACCTTTTTTATCGGGCAATGAAAATCAGAGGTACTCTCTTTATTGTTGCAGATGCTCAGTATGCCTAGGGGATTACCAAGCAAATGATAAGCTTCAACAGATACCTGCTTGTGGGCATACATTTCACATGGACTGCATTGACCACTGGCTGGCCACTCACACAACCTGCCCACTCTGCCGCCTTTCCCTCCTTACTTCTGCTAAAGCTTCAACTGAACCAGCACATGTCCGTGCAGAAACGAGTCAAGGATCTTTGGATGCAGAAAATGGTAATGTAGCTTCTATTCCAAATAGCTCTCAATCTTGCCAAGATCCTCAAGTATAGTCTGACATTAAATGATTCGGATCCCTTTACAAATTCCAGTGGGACCATTGTTTTATGAGAGGGTCCTCCATCACTACATTGTTGAAGATTGATAAAAATTGAACTGGGGATTTGGATCCGACACTTGTGGTTAATGTAGGATCTGCATACATGTTTAATGCTACCCAGTTGATGCTTGTGCAGTAGGAGAACTGAACCATTTCATTTGGTTTTCAGCTTTCTTTGGGACATAAATTTAGTTTTGGCAAGGGGTCGCTAGTGAAGCAATAAAACTGAATTGATTACCAACGACACATGTTGCCCAAGTTTCATCTTTTACCTTTTCAATTGAGGGACAGTTTGGGTGATGATTTCTTTGCACAAACAACTTTCAAGTTAAATCATGTGAACATGTCAAGTGATATTCGCAATGGCCATGTATTTGAAAATCATGAATCAAGAGTTTGTCAAACTGGATCATATGAATAGAACCGACTTCACTCATTGGAGGGACAAGATGATGTTACTTCTCACTGGATTGAAAATCGCTTATGTTTGGATTTGACTTTGTAACCAGTTCCTATTGAAACTCAGAAGACATGGATAAGGATAGGAAGATAAAAAAAAGCGAGGAGAATAATTTTTTTTTTTTTTGGAGTTCATATGCTGAACACATTGTTCGATCCATTGTGTGACCTACATGCATCCTTCAAGTCTCCATAAGAAATTTGGAAAACGCTGGAACAAAAATATGTCTGAGAAGTAAGATATGTATATGTTTTCTAATTTTGAAATATATTGAATTCAAGATAAATGGCAACATACCGATCGGGTATAAAGTTTATGAATTGTAAGCGATGAGTCCTAATTCAACTGGGTCAAGCCTAATCAATTAAGCCTAAATCAGCTACAAAGTAGGTTAAGTTCAATCCAAGGTTCAAGGATTTCAGGATTATTAGCGCACGTGGGGAGTAATTGTCAGGATGACCGCCACTCGAAGATCGAGACCATCTTCAATTGTACCTATTCTTAAATATAACAATTCTTTCTGAAGGATTAATTATCTATTACATCACGCCACCACCTCAACTAAGACTCTGTGCCTATAAATTATAAACTCTCTCTATTAAGAGGGGTATCTCTTTACACACCCTTTTACACAGATATCTCTCTTTTAACTAGCCAACCTTTCCTAGAGCTTACATTTGCTCTCTCTCTCTCTCTCTCTCTCTCTCTCTCTCTCTCTACACCTTACTTTATTAATAAAAGTCTCCGGCCACTGTTACTGCTTTCGAAAGTGGAGTAGGTCACTCTAGTCGAACCACTATACATATGTGTGTTGCTTGTGTTGCCCAATCTTTGTCTCATACATTAATTGCTTTATTGATTGCTTCACTGATTACTCTAAATCACACACTCGACTTTTGATTGTACATAAGCCTATTTTATGCATCATTAGTAAGTTCTGCAAATTAGACTTTGTGATGCTGAAGTTGTAGTTTTTGAGTCACTTCAAGATGGGACACTTGTTGCGAAACTTTCTCCTACTTGGAATGAATGTAGGAAGAAGCTTCTACATATGACAGAAGATTTCAATATAGATTTCAAAAAGGCATATGAGGTTTGATGAAGGAAATTGGAAGCATGATGTGTATTTGAGTTCTTAAATAAATCATGTATGAAAACGACTCTACAGAAATGAAAATTTCATAAACATCTTAATGTACAAAAAAAATTGTTCTAGTGTTATGAAAAATAATGGTTCCAATGAGAAGTATGCCTCATATTATCATTACAGAAACAAATACCATTTTATTTATGACTGTAGATATTGCAAGAATGAAAAGAAAGTTAGTTTAAATTCTTAAAATACTGTAAATATGGCGTGTTGGCCCAATATGCAATTTAAGATGGGGTGCATTAGGTTTTTCTCGACAATTGCTTAATAAAAAATCAATTTCATTATTTGTGAAATTGGTTAATCTAAATACAGTTGTATGAACCTCCTTGACTCCCACTTGCACCTATCTGTGCAAAAGTAGCGGCCGTAGTATTAGCTTGTGCAATAATAGCCGCCGCTGCACCAATAATCTCCACAAAGGCCTGTTGGTCAAAGGCCAGTGATGGTTGGTTGTTGTTCTGTCCACCGCCTCTGCCTCGACCGCGTCCTCTTCCTCTTCCTCTATTTTCCATCTACACACATGTCAAATAGCAACAGAGCATTTACTTAGTATCTCAAGATAGGAGTCAAGTATTTAAACTTTGAGATTTTTCTCCTTGTTTCACTAGTAGTGCGTGCGCCACCTACTAGTAGACATTTACAAATAGAACTATATCGTTTATTCCTTTTTCCGAACCCAATGTTATGTTTTCTAACCCTAGTGTTTCTCTTTTCCATGTGCCTTTTACCATGCATACAATTCACCTAACACATAGCATATAATCATGCAGCAAATTTTAGCACATAACATGAAATGCACAATGAATGCAATGGTCTAAACCTATGTCTATCAAGCCCTACGTAAATCGTATACCTATGCTCCGATACCAAACTGTGACGCCCCAAAAACCGGGGGTCCTTAATTTAACAAAATTTGGGCAGAGTCTCCTTTGTACGAGAAGCTCTACCCAAAACACAACCTGTGCATCATACAATCACATGACCCATCCAAGATCCAATATACAATATTAACCACACCGGGTCTATTTAAAAGTAAACATTGACTACACTGGGTCTATTTAAAAGTAAATATTGACCACATCGGGTCTATTTAAAAATAAACATATAATAGCATGCAAGATTTCATTAACATAGTCCAAAAACTAACTTAGTGAATGTTTTACAAAAACATAGCTTTTCACAATAAAACTTTATATATACAAGTTCCATTGCAAGTAATTCCATATAATTATATGTCCAAAAACATAATTTTACAATAGTTTTACAAAAACTCGGTTCAAAAGCCATAACTCGGCTTTTCTTCATATTTCAGACCCCGAATGAGAGCCATCAACCGGGGTATATCCCGCACCGAAAATCTGTTCCCGTATAGGGTAAGCCACGTCCAGTAGAGAAATTCCTACAGAGGCTACTCCCCCCAGATGCATATGCATTGAGTACTTACAACAATTTACAACAATATCCATCCCAACAATAACATATAATTAAATGTTGGAAAATCATAATATCATGCCATGAAATGAGGTCAGACTCACTCATGCACTTTACCCCGAGTCTTCACTGACTCCCGCAACACAATGCTGTGCCAATGTGTAATTTAAACCGTCATCTATGTAACACATCAAATGACATTTTCAAAACTAAGGTCTTTCTTGGGGTGGATATTCATGGACTTACACCAACGGCTCTTAACCGACACGGAATTCATGGACTACCACCAACGGTTCTACGTACACTGACACACTTTATGACTCTTATACCAACGGAATTAAAATTCAATCACCGGGTCTTTCACCCGAGGGATATTCTAGCTCTTCTTGCTAACCCTGACCCAATTTTCGCTAAAACTGTGCGATTAAGCTGAAACATCGATTCAACATTTTCAAGTCCACTCGTCATATACCAAATGAGGTGAAGACGAAAACCATGCACACACACTCTCAATATGCGATGTCCCCATGCATATGCAATGTAATGTACTATTACATGTCAATGTCATATCTCATATGTAATGAATATCATATGGATCAATTTAACCATACATTTCAACATAACCCATCATCCACCAAGTATGGTATTTGATTAACCATGCACACACACCCACACCCACACCCATGCTTTATGCCCATGAATGTGATGCCTCCGTGCATATACAATGTAAAATATCATTGCAACACTATTCACATGTTCAATATGTAATGAATGTCATATGAACAAATTCAACATAAATCAACATGTCCATGGTAAATTATATTACGAGCATATAAATACCATAATTTATCACATTGTCAATCTATCACAAGCATGCATATATCAACATTTCTTAACAAGCATGTTATTGCACAATATATGTCCAAAACACACTTTACTCACAAGAGCACACTCTAAACACATAGCATGCCCACACAATACCAAATTTCAAGAAATTTCACAAGGAACTTCCCCATATCAAATTGAAGGTAAAACTTGAATTAAACCATTTCTACACCCATTTTTTCATGTCCATAATAATAGGCAAGTTTTCATCCAACACAATATCCAAGCATGCTATACATAGTCTATGCAAAACATACTTAATTTTCACCTAGACATTTAATCAAACACTTTCAAGGCACCACTCATGTAAATACATAATGCACTCAAATTCATCATATAACTCAAAAAAAAATCAGAATAAATAATTTTCACATGCCCAATTATCAAAACTTCCAAGAAATCATAAATTAATAATTTCTAATTACTAATTCACACTAGAATTGAGCCTATCCATTTCCATTAGACCAATTATAATAGGCAAATGCTAAAAATACCCAAAATAACCCACATAAACCCTATGGATACTTTAGGTTATAAATAAACCAAAGTAGGAAGAACCCTATCTCTTGGAGCGTAAAGTGAAAGAGAGAAAACTTCAAGACACCTCCCTAGCTCCAAGAATCTTGATTTTTTTAAAATATCGTATTTAAAACTTCAGTGAAATTCTTCGTTTTTGGTGTGGTTGCGTAGCCCTCGTCTCGGTGATCGATTTTAAATCTTGGTCCGAGGGATTCCAACCGACGAAACTCCGCGAATCTGCGAGAGAAGGTTGAAGTTTTTGTTTTTTTTCTTCTTCTTCTTCAACGTCTGATCCAGCAGAGAAAATGTCCCAAAATCAGATATTTGCTCCATATTTATACATTTTAATTCTTGGCCCACGTTGTGCCACACGCCTCCCTTTTTTCAGGTCTGTTTTCCCCTCAAAACGATTAAATTTTACTCCGGTTCAAACTCAAAATATTTTATATGAACTTTATTTAAATTATAATAAAATTTTAGAATTTTTTATTTTTTTTGGGCATTTTTGATGTCACCCGACACCCGTCACCTTGAAAAACATGAAAAATCTGACTATCTCGAAATTTGACGAAAATTGCCTGAGTAACTAAATTTCGCGGGATGAATCTAACAGTGAGATCCGTTTCGTCATCTGAGATCTAGAAAAATACAAGTTTTCAACTCGTACTATAATGTCAAATTACCATTTTACACTTTTTCATAAAAAGTTTAAATTTTTCTCAGGTTTTACATTCTTCCCCCTTAAAAAGAATTTTGTCTCCGAAATTCACACACACATGC